AAAGACTCCTGACTTCCAAACAGGTGAATTCACCTCTCCAAGCCTCAGTGACCTCATCTGTAATATGGGAGAATCCTGGGCTCTGTATGGATTGGGTGAGATAGTGTCCATCTGGCAATGGAGATGCCTTTATCTTTATTTAAAAAAAAAAAATGTTGGCCACGTGTAAAATCTTAGTTCCCCAACCAGGGATCGAAGACTGCAGTCTGCAGCAGGAGCACGGAGACTTAACCACTGGGCCCCAGGGAAGTCAAGATGTCTTTACATGGTAGCTGCCTGCACCTCCATAAGGTGTCAAGGCCAGCCCCACAAACTGAGTCATTCTGTAAGGCCACCGCCCTGGCAGGGCTTCCTCTATAACTCTGAGGACACAGGAGGCCGTCGGACTGCCACTGTTAGGGGTGGCATCTATTGACTTGTGGGTGCTAAGCCTGGGAACTTGGACAAATTGAATCATGCAGACAATGTTTTGGCACCCAAAGAGCTGCACTGGAAAAAACACAGTTGCAAAAAAAAGACAGAATGAACTCACTCAACAGCTATGGGAAAGACTTGGAACCTTCAAGAGAGTTGTCAAGTAGGGTCCTGTTTACCAGAAGGCGAAGGGGGATGTTGAGTGACCAGGAGCCTGGCTCTCAATCCATGCCAGGGTTGTCTGCCAAGGGTTAACCTTGAACCCTGGAGCCAAGCAGGTGGGGCCTGGCTCTGCAGAGAAACCAGATGGAGGGAGCGGGGCAGCTGCTAAATCCCTGCCTTGTGAGAGTGTCAGCTCCCAGGGACTGCCGTGGGGCAGGGGAGCAGGGAGCAGCCAGCTTCCAGAGGCAGAGGGCTGGCGCCAGGCTGCTTGGGTTCTAACTCCAGCTCCGTGGCCTGCTGGCTGACCTTGGGCTGGAGACTTAAGCCTGGGAACTGGGAACGGGGCCTCAGTTCCCAGCTGTAAAATGGAGACGATAGTAGCACCCACCATCTGGGGTTGTGGTGAGGATCTCAGATCAAGCCGGTTTAGAATTTAACACAGTCTGTACCCAGAATGGCAGCAGCTATCATTACTGTTATTTAGGGGAAGGCTGGCAGCATGCCTCCCCCACTGCCTGCCCCCTCCCTCTGACTGGGGTCCCATCTTTACACAGGCCTGGACTGGATCACACCACAGAGGCACAGAGCCTAGGAAACCCTCTGGCCCTACCCTTGCCTCATGCAAGAGTCTCATCTGCAACTTGCCCTAACTCTCCTTACGTGCCTGTACTCATGGGGAGCTCAGTACTCCACAAGACAGCCCATTCCACATTCAAACAGTTCTTATCACAAGTTCCCCAGGTGGATCTAAAATCTCCCTTTCAAACTGCCACTTAGTGGGAGTGGTTTTTTTTTTTTTTTTGCCGGGAACTTTCCAATGTCTGGAACCTACTCATCCCACAAATGCTAGGAGCCCTCTGGGCAGGGCCTCAGTCATTCCTTCAGGAAGTCTCCCCTGAACCTCATCCTGAACATCTCATGCAGAACAGAACAGCTGCTCCCCACAGGGACACACGAATCTTCTCCAGCGCTGAGTCTGTGAGGCAAAAAGTCTTGGATGTGTCCAGAACCTGACATTAATAATAATTCAATTCACTTGCCTCATTCAATTCTTAATCCCTATGAGGCATATACTACTCATCCCCCCACACCAGGTTTTAAACGGTAGTGATATACACAGACAACAAATCTCAACCATTTCTAACTGTCCGTGTCAGTGGTATTAAGTGCATTTACTTTGTTGTGCAACCATCACCACCATCTGTCTCTAGAAGTTTTTCATCTTCCAAAACTGAAACTCTAAACCCACTGAACAATAACTTCCCCATTCCCTCCTTCCCCCAGCTCCTGGCAACCACTATTCTACTCACTGCTTCTACACATTTGACTCCTCTTAGTTACCTCCTGTCGGAGAAGGCAATGGCACCCCACTCCAGTACTCTTGCCTGGAGAATCCCATGAATGGAGGAGCCTGGTAAGCTGCAGTCCATAGGGTTGCTGAGTCGGACACGACTGAGCAACTTCACTTTCACTTTTCACTTTCCTGCACTGGAGAAGGAAATGGCAACCCACTCTGGTGTTCTTGCTTGGAGAATCCCGGGGATGGGGGAGCCTGGTGGGCTCCCATCTATGGGGTCGCGCAGAGTCGGACACGACTGAAGCGACTCAGCAGCAGCAGCTACCTCCCGTAAGTGCGATCATACAGAATCTGTCTTTCTTGGTCTAGCTTATTTTGCTTAATATCCTCAAGGTTCATCCATGTCATAGCATGCTCCAAATTCCCTTCCTTGAAGGGAAGATTGAGGAAGCCTGTGGGTGATAAAGCTTGGATGTGGCGAGAGAGTCCTGAGCCAGAACGTGGGCATTCTCGAAGCTTGACCAGCAGGGTCTGACCTTTCTGAACAGCTGTCCACAGTAGCAAGTCCACATCTCTTTGGCCTTTTAGATTCATTGCCCTGACCTCAACCTTGCTCACTGTAGCTACATCCCCACTCATCCTCCTCTTCACCCACTTAAGAAGGCCCCAAATGGGAAGTCCTGGCCTGGTTCTCCAGGCGTGGCTATTTAGCTTTCCTAGCTGAGATGCACAGACAGAACTCTCTTGGTGCTGCGGGAAGCTCAGGAGTACATTCCCAGGATGACGGCAACCCTGTCCCGGGGCACACTGCCCCCAGTGTGACACAGGGCTGTCAGACAGAAGTGTGCAGGGCAGTCAGAGCCCAGAAGCTCCGGGGTTCCCACAGATTTAGAGGCCGCCGTCCTCAGACTGCCGTGCACCCTCTCTGGGTCACGGGGTCAGACTGTCCACTTCAGACAGGATGCCTCTTCCTCCCAAGACCAAGGCTGGGTCCTGGACAGCTACCATGGACAGACAGGGTTGCAGGGGTGGGGGACGGGGAGATGTGGCCTCCAGAGACACTTTGCAGACCCCCAGAAGGAAGGAGCTGGAAGAAACCCGAGTGCCCTTTAACTTTCACTGGAAGCTGGAGAAAAGACCTTGGCTCTGAGGATGGCAGAGCTGGACCAGAGCCCCAGAGCCCTGGGCCCCGACTTGCAAGTCAGGCTCCCCCAACGCCAGCTTATCTTGTCCTTCCTCCCCATCTTTGCCTCAGCGATTATTCTTCCCTTTCAAGCGGGGTATCTGGGAGTGCCAAGGCAGCCGCTGTCTCCTCTGTCCCTTGGGATGAGCTGTACACCTATGCCAAGAGCAGGGAGCCTGTGTTATACACCTCTCCAGAACATCCAGCACCATGAATGATGAGTGTTTGTTGACTGACGATGAACATGAGTCTTCTGCCTATCTTTTATGGCTAATTCTGGTACTTTCCCAAGGGCTCTGGAACATAGTCTTGACCTTCCATGGTAATGGGCCCCTAAGTGCCAGCCGCTTGAGCTCTGTAATTTCATGTAATTCTATAGCGCAGATATTAATATTCCCATTTTACAGATGAGGAAACTGACACTCAGAGGAGTCCATTGACTGGGAATTGGTACAGCTAGGATTAGAACCCAGCCTGGGAGCATTTCTCTGTGCCTCGATGTGGCCTCCCAGTGACCTACCGGCGTGGAGGACAACAGGTGGGTCCACAGGCCGTGGGGGAACCCTCCACCCTGTTCAGTGATCCCTGAAACCTGCCCTTTGAGGAAGGTGGCTAAGAGATGGGACTGGTGGCATCAGAGCTGATGGCTGGTGGCTGAGAGTCTGGGTGACCAGTGCCCAGTTCACCAGCCTTAGCTGGATTGGGGCAAAGTTAAACAAACAAAAAACCTCTCTAACAGGAGGCTGAATTAGAAGGGGGGAAGAGGTCAAAAAGATGCTCTTGTGATGACTGTCTCAGTTCTGCGCAGCTTCTAAATGGCTCAGAGAAAGCCCCAGGTTTGAAAGAGCCTTCCAGGGTGCTTATTACACACCAAAGTTGTTTTACAAATACTATCTCTGCCTTTCCTATACCGCTAAGGAGTTTTAAAGTCTGTATTTTACATGTGAACTAATTGAATTTATTAGGTGAGGGTTCAAGGTCAGGCAGCTATGCATATAAGCCCAGGCTCTCCTGCCTTCACAGGCCAAGTCTTATCCACTGTACTAAACTGCCTCCAGCCCACTTCCTGAAAAATTTAGAGAAAACAAGTTCCCCACCCACTCCCTCATGCCTCACGGTCCTGAAAATCTTATGAATGAGCTGACTCCATGTGTAACATGATCTGAGCTACAAAAATGTTCTTGCCCTTTATCCCAAGTATTTATTCTGGATGGAGAATAAAATCCAAGGAGAGATTAAAAGAAAAAAAATCTAAAAGAAATTATTTCCACAGTTGTCCATAAAATTCGAATATTTAATCACAAAACACCTGGAAGCAATCTAAACTTCACAACTAAGGGACAAAGGATGCTTATCCTGGCGGATACCACACGGACTTAAAAATCAGTTAGTTGGTTTCAATGCAAAGTGCAAAAGCAGAACATTCCATTTTAATTTCAGAATACTGTTGCAACAAAACCATCTGAAAGAAGAAGGCTAACTTATGCCATTTTATTTTTTTCCTTTCCTTTAAAGAATTTTAAGTCAATTTCTGATAAGGTAATTCATGTACATAATTCATGCACACAGTAATACATTAAGGTCTAAAAACCAAAGCAATATCCTGTGGAAGAGCCCTCAGTAACCCATGACAACCATTTAAGAATGTGGGTTTGTTGATTTACAAAACTCAGAAGGGAATGCAGAGAGAAGTGACTTGCTTTATAGCTATTTGGATCTGCTTTTTTCCTGCAAAGCTGATGAAAGCAAAGGTTTAAAAAAGAAACACAGAGCAGAGAATTCACACCATTTTTCTAAGACGTAATTCAGAGCTTCTTGCTGGGACTGTTTTTCAAGTCTAGCTCAAATCCCTCTTGCTGTGATCTGTGAAGGAAGCAGCTAAGTTGGGTTTTGGATAAGTCAGGCAAAGAAAACCATGTGAGAGAAAATCAACCACTTTCTTACCTGTTCAAGTACCGAGATACAGTCTTCTAGGGCTTCGCTGGCAGCTTTAAGGGGCTCCAGGGCTTAGAACAGGTACCAAGGGCAGGGGGCAATGGGTGCCAGGTGGGAAAGGCTGTGGCTTCCCCCAGCCCACAGTCCAGGCTTCCCGACTGATGGGAAGGGCGGGGAAAGCAGGCCACTGCAACTGATTCAGAAACTGGAGCCAGCAAGGGCGGGGCAGGGCCACGTGGCCCCAGCCTGCCTTGGAGAGTGGAGTAGGAGGGGGCCACAAGCCCAGAGGATCAGCCAGGAACTCTTCTGACCGAGTGCGCCAGGCAAGTTAACGGTGGAAGTCCCCAGACCAAGTCTTGGCTCCCAGGCAGGATGGGCTGTTTTAGGGGGCCGCGCCAACTCCTCTCCATAGCACATTTATTCCGACAAGAACCCCTCCACAAAACTCAACAAAACTGTAGTGATGTAGTACTGTCCGGACTGCACATGTACACAGGGGGACGAACTTCAGAGGAAGAAAAGGCCTTTGATAAATATCACCAGTGTTGGGAACCAATCAATACCCAGCCTACAGATGGAGACCTGAGCCCAGAGAGAGAAGTGTCTAAGCCAAGGTCACAAAGCCAGAGGGCTTGCTTCTGTCCATGACTCCGGGCCTGTCCTGGGGTAACGCGTGGGGTCGCACACATATCTGTGGGAGTTCCTGGTGACACAGCAGACGCTCAAGCCTATCTCCAAGGACAAGGAGCAGTCTCACTTTGCCTGGGTCAGAATGAGAGCCGAGAACGGTTCCGCCTACAGTTCTGTGGCCACTGAAGGGTGAGCTCCATCTCTACCTAGTTTTCAGAGCAAGGTCCCTGATGTACTCAGACCATATTTGGAGTACTTAGGGGTGGGCCAGTTCCCCAAGGGAGCCTTACAGGATCTTAGTTCCCTGGCCAGGATTGAACCCAGGCCACGGCAGTGAAAGTGCCAAGTCCTAACCACTGAACTACCCAGAATTTCCTTCAAGGAATCTTTCAGCTTCTCTACCAGTGGACAAGTAGAGATTGTCCTCAAGGGATTGGGGAAGGGCTGTGTTCAAAGCATCAGACTACCAAAGATAGTTTTCAGGTTTCCCTGATACAAGCACAGGATCCTCACTAAGAGGTCCCATATTTAACATTTAGGATTCCACAGCACCTGGTTTGGGAAATGCTGGCCTAGATATTAGCATGTCTTATTCTGGATGTTAGTGCTTGGCACAAGTACTTGTTCAAGAAATTTCTCCAGAAATGGTTTCTCAATTGGACTGACAAAACCGGACTCCCAGTTTGGCCCTGGACTTCCAGTAAGACAATAATGCCTACATTTGGAATGTACTGGGTTGGCCAAGAGGTTCATTAGGATTTTTCCATGTTACAGAAAAACCGGAACCAACTTTTTGGCCAACCCAATACTATGGCTAACTCCCTACTCCCATCTGCAAGACAACGACGACAGTGGCCACACCCTCAGCAAGGTCTTGCTGAATTTCTGCCCAGCTGAGTCAAGCAGTCGAGCAGCCCGTGGGAGGACAGATCGGGTGGAAGTGACAGGGTTACAGCCACAGGATGGGGCCCTGCAGAAGTCTGAACAAAACTCCACTGTGCCCTCTCTGGGACCTTGTGGCTTAGAAGAATAGCCCTTTCTTTCAAGGCATCACGTATAGGACTGCAGTTCAAGATAGGGGTGGCTCCAGATCTCCCAAGGATTTTGGACCCAAGTTCAGTGGCCAACCTCCTTGGATCCCCAGAAACTCAGTGGAAAGTACTTTACTGTTACTATGATAACCCCTAGAGGTTGGTCTTATTTTACAGAAAGGAAGCTGAGGCCCAGCTTAGAGACTGGTGAACCCAGGTCATGTGACCTTGCATCCAGTGTTCTGCTATGGACTTCACTCCCACTTTACACGTGGCAGGTGGGATCTGGTTTCGGACTGACTTATCCCTCTCTCCGACTGCAGCGTCAACTCCTTAAAGGCCAGAGGCTCCTCAGTGGGCCTTGTTTGCAGCACTACATGCACCCACCCCCAGGGACTCACAGTGAATGCTGGCATTTCTCTTCACCATCACGCCACACTAGCTCACACACATTTTACTCATGACCCCAAATTATTAACTTTGAAAGTCTCTTGAAATGACCTAATCAAAAGCAGGTCTCATTCCCAGAGATTTTGCTTTACAGAAAAAGGTAAATTCTGCTGGGTGGGCCTGTGGGATAAAATTTTGAGGACCAGACTCTAAAAGACAGAGGTGGGGAACTGAGGTGACTTTGACTCAGGGATCACAGCCAAACCTGACTGGGTACTGACTGAACTGCTGGATTGAGAGGGTGAGGTGGTGCTGACTCTAGCTTTGTCCTCTCGGGCAAACTTGGTGTTCTGATTTCCTTTGCTTCATTCTTAACAAGAAGCAATGTTCCCTCAGTCACCTGGAAGCCACCTAGTGATTTCCAGGTCTGGTTACTACCAGATTGTGAAATAGACAGATGCCCAGGCATCCCTAGCAGACTAATTTGGGGTAAAACAGATATCACCACTGTAACAGGTTGCCTGAGATAAAATATTTGGCTGTCTCTGATTTCTCCCAGAAGTCCCAAGGCTGTGCCTGTTTTATCTGAAGGAACTAGAGACATGGGCCTTAGGCTTGCCAGCAGATTCACCTCACCACCAGACTCAGAGGGACAGAAACTACTTTGTTATAAGGACTCCTGGGTGCAGTAGAGTAGACATTCGAGGAGGTGGCACACAGTAGGTGCTCAGGCAACACGGATGGAATAAATGAATGTAGCCCCATCTTCTAGTGGATTAGGCACGTCTCTTGATGTTGACTTCCAAAGCCTCTATAGAAACAGCTCTTGGTTATGTTGATGCAGAGTGGTGAAGGGGATTTTCCTGAGTGCTGTGGAGTCCACATCCACTGACTTCAGTTCAGACTTCATACAAGGTCCACACAGTGGGTTATCAGATCCCCAAATATAAATCAGCCACTGGCAACAGAGGTGTTGAGTCCTACCTACATATACCAGTCATCTGTATCCCTACATTCTTTTTTTGAACATTTCACTTCAGCACCAGAGCTCTGTATATGGCCATTAAACATATTTTAAGGGTACAATAAACATAAAATATTCACATAAAATATTACATATGCAAATGAGCAAGTGGATGATTCATGCAAACACATGCCATTTCTATTTTGAATAGAAACAGAATTTAGGAATTAAAAAGAAAAAAAAAATGCTGAAAGCCAGGTTGATTCATCTGCAGAATTCTCCAAACATTTCTGGCTTCCCACCAACCTCAAAAGAGGCTGCAGTCGTGAGAGCAGCATGGGTTCTGGAGATGAGAGCTCTCCCTTTAAGTAAGTGAACCTCAAGAGCCTTTTCCAGTCCCAGCAGCTGTCTTGCTAGCAATACATTAAAAAAAAAATAGATAAAAGCTGACATTCCACCCACAGTCCAACTTGAACCCCCTCCCCCCAAGGAATGCTATTCCTAGCAAAAGATCTTCCAAATGAAACAACATCTGTGGAACCTCTACTCGTGAGGTCAGGGAAATGCTGAGGCACTTAAAAATTTTTGAGTCCTTTTTTCAGACCCAAGTTGCAGAGACTTAAAGGCAGCAGAATAAGAGCAATCCTAATAACCAAGGGCAAATGCTTTGATGGGGTGACATTCCTTCTGTTCCGTGGCAGTCTCTAATGTGTGTTCTGCAAAACAGCAGAGTTCTCCATTTACCGGGTTACACAACTAAACCAAAGGAGTTGATGTGGTCCCCTTAACACAGATGGAGTTTGCAATTGTAGTGATTGCAATCCAGTCACTAAATCTTACTAAAAACTTTCTGTAGGTCCTGAACTAGACAAGACTGGTCTCAACATATTCAAGCCTAATTCCTTGTGTCTGTGATCCTAAAATTCCATTTGTCACAGTCCTGTTTTGCAGAGAACGAGCAAACGCATGGACATGCAGAGGAAGCACAATGGTGACAATTCCTGGGTACAACACCTAAAAACTCAAGCAACAAAACAAAAAGATGAGCAAGTGGGACTCCATTAGACTATCATACAGCAAAAAAAGTAAAAGACATCCTATGGAAAGGGGAAATTATTTGCAAGCCAGGTATCTAATAAAGGGTTAACATCCAAAAACATAAGGAACTCACAGAACTCAACAGCAAAAACACAGAAAATTCAACTGAAAAATGGGCAAAGGACCTGAACAGGCTTTTTTCTTTATAAGATACATGAATGGCCAACAAGTACGTGAAAAGATGCTCAAGGCAAATCAAACCACAATATGCTAAATCAGTCCTCACCTGTTAGAACTGGCATGAATAAGCGATAAATGGTGCTGAGGATGTGAGGAAAGGGGGAATTGTGCACTGTTGGTGAGACTGTAAACCGGTATAGCCACTATCATACAGTGGTACAGCCACTGGTACAGTACAGAGAACTCTCAAAAACTTGAAAATGTGGTGTGTGTGGATGTATAGTAAAATATTACTCAGTCATAGAGAAGGAAATCCTGCCATTTGCAGGATTGGATAAATCTTGAGGGCATTATGCTAAAGTGAAATAAGCCAGACACAAGATGACAAATTACCCTGTAAGTTCACTTATATACAGAATCTCAAAAAACCAAATAACAAAACTTATAGAAAAAGACCAGATTTGTGAGGGAAGGAGTGGAGGGGAGAATGGGGGGACAGGACACTATAACAAAGGTCAAAAGACAGGACTTCCAGTTAAAAGAGAAATAAGCACTAGGAATATAATGTACTACATGATGACTAAACACTGCTATGTGATATATATTAAAGTTGGCAACAATAGATCCTAAGAATTCTCTTCAGAAAAAAAAGTTTCTCATTTTGCCTTTGCAAGAGATGATGAACTAAGACTATGTATATGTATCAAACCATTAGGATGCACACCTTTAACACACACAATGATGTATGTGAACTGGATCAAAACTGGAGAAAAGCAAATCTTTCCAGCTGTGAGAATTCATGAAGAATCAAGCCCAGAGAAGGTCCCTCAATTATGGCGCTGAGATGCTCTCTGCACATCCTCCAAAGCTCTAGATCTCCTTCAGGACCCACCTGACAAAGACAACAGACACAGCGAGTGTGAGGCGGTGCGAGGGGAAGAAAACATCACTGTGATGCGTCAGGGGACTCGTT